AGTTATGCATGCTCTAACTTTAAGCTTTTTGCAGTGGCTCTTCTCTCTACCAAGATGGCTGTTCCCCCAGATACAAACATCATAATGCACTCCCTGCCTCCTTCAGGTCTTTGCTCAAATATAATTTCTCTGTGGGGCCACCCTGAATGTGCTATTTAAAATTCCCTCATCCCCTCAGCCTCTGCAGCACAAGTTCCATCCCTGGCCAGCCAGGGAGCTACCCAAATGGCCATGGCGCAGCAGACCTCTCATGTCATGCCTGCTGTTCCCCTCAACAGTATATTTCAGTCAGTCTGCCTGTTCCGTTCCCCACTCTGTCTCTGGTGAATCCTCTCACACCCCCGTTCCTCTGGCCTGTATCCTGGTTCTTGTATGCATAAATAAATAAATCTTAAAAAAAAACAATAAAATTCTCTCATCCTCCTCTCTGGCATTGCTTCTCCCTTCCTCACTTAATTTTTTTCCCAGAGCATCACCATCTGATACTCTCTAGCTTGTTTATTGATGATTGATTGGTTGTTTATTTGCCTTCTCCCCTGAAGATTGTTTTTTTTAAAAGGCATGTTTTATTTATTTATTTGTTTGTTTATACATGCATTGGGTACAGTCAGAAGCGCGGGAGGGTGAGAGAATTCACCAGAGCCAGAGCGGGGAGCAGAGCAGGCAGAAGGTCTCCTCTGAAGATTTTAAGCCTAATGCAGTCAGCTTTCTTGTCTGTTATTGACCACTGCATTGCTCATAAATATTAATGGCAGGGAGGGATGGGAAAGGGAAAGCAAAGGGAAATGCAGGGGTGAGGAGGGAGAAGGGATGTGGGAAGAAGGGTAGGAGGCAGGGAGGTTGGGAAGAAGAGTGGGTTTCGGGAAGTAGTATGGGGTACACGAGACCCAAATTGGTCTTGGAGCCCTCAACCAACCAGTGAATTCAGAAACCGAGTGCTTGTTGATTTCCTGCCCCAAAGACGGCCCTATTTTTCCTTCTGGCAACTAGGCACAGGCAGAGTTTTCTACCTAACCTTTTCCTGGTGCTATAATACTTAGTCAGTGAGGCCTGCCCTTGGTAATTGAAGTTTTTGTGACAGAGAGGTTCATTTTGATGGGAGAGGTAGGTAAAAACCTCTATATGTATGTTACCCCAAAGTCAATGGATTATAGATGGTTAGAAAGAAGCATGGCTTAAAGTCTTTGATTGTTTTGTAATGTGAAGCTTTTATAGACTTGAAAACTCAACTAAATAGAGGCAGCAGAAGCACAGATATGATAGAGTTTCCACGGGGTGTTTTGAGAAAGCAGACTTTAAGCAATAACTATTGTAAGAGTATCTACAAATAGGACTTGATAAAAGGGCATTAAAAAAAACTAGCTGCACCATGAAATTCCAGTCATTTGTATAAACTGCTATACTAAATGATAGATGGAGGTCTGTGTACATCCTTAAAAAACAATCCCACATAAGGACTATATATTGTCACCTGCCACAAAACAACTTCTAGTGTCTTGGGAGTAACTGGCAAAGAAGACTGCAGTCGCCTTTCAATGGAAAGAGCAAAAACTAGCAGTTGAGTTCCACTTTTACTTCATATTCCTCCAAAACAGAGGTGTTTTTTCTATGCTAAGAATCAGTCATGAGATCACCCCATGAATATCTGTGGTAGGTAGAATAATGGCTATGTCCTTTCCTGGTACCAGAAACCTCTGAATATTCTCAGTTATAAAGCAAAGGGGAATGAAGTTTGCACATGGATTTAAGGTTGCTAATCAGCTGACCTTGACATGGGAAGATTATCTAAGCAGGAGGTGGATAATCGTAAGTGTCCTTTAAATATGAGAGGGGAGCAGAGGAGAAAAGAGATGCCAATGTGAGAGGGCCTCTGCCTGATGCTGTTGATTTTAGTGATGGAAGCGGAGGGCATGTGAAAGAATGTGGGTAACCTCCAAAAGGTGGATAAGGTGAGAAAAGAGGTTCTCTCTTAGTGCCTCCAGAAAGAGAGGCAGCTTTGCTAACATCTTGATTTTATTCCGGGGAGACATGTTTGGGACTTCTGACCAGTTAAGACAGAGCTGTAAGAAAATAAATTTGTATTTTGTTAAGCCACTAAGTTTGTGGTAATTTATTATAGCAGTAATAGGAAATGAGTACAGCTTTGGTTGGTTGTCTGCATTCTTTCCTTAATCTCACCCACAGATTATTCTCTTTCACCCCACACCTTTAGAGCTCTAGTCCTTACTTTTGGCAGTTTCTTGTGAATTACTCTATGTCAGTGGCTGGAGACATTTTTAGTTGTCAAAACTGTAGTGTAGGGATTTTGGAACTGATTTCTAGAGAGCAGAAGCCAAGGAAGCCACTAAGCATTCTATAATACACAGGACAGCCCTCCAAAACAAAAAATATCCAGCCCAAAATGGTAACGGCACCATTCTTGAGTAAAATCCCACTCTACATATTTATCAGCATAATATATGGGTTTGGTGAAAATGTACCTGCAAAGAATCCCTGTACTTCCTCCTCCTTCCATCTCTGCCTTTCCTTTCCTATTTTTTATTTTTGGACTTCCATTATTATACCATGCAACTTCAAAATGGACAGGTAATATTGTCCTTAATGGCACAAAAGTTGGTTCATGAAAGGTAAAAAACCTGATCTTGCAATAGGTTGTGGTCCTCTAAAACTCAACCCTACCTGACAAAATGATATTCCGCAGCACTTAATTAGGAAGAATTTTAATATACTTTTTTTCCTTAGGCAAAACCCCTGCTTTGGGGGCCTCCATGGTGGTGCAAGGGGTTAAGCGTCAGCATTATGAAGCAATCCTCAGCTACTGCAGCATGAGTTTGATCCCAGGCCAGGGAAGTGACCCACATGGAACAGCAGACCTCTCCTGTCTTGCCCTCTGCTCCCCACTCTGTCTCCCTTTTACCCCAGGCCCTGTACCTCTGGCCTACACTCCAGCTCATGTATACATAAATAAATCTATCTTAAAAAAAAAACAAAAACCTAAGCCTTACTTTCTACCGAATTTTCATTAATTTCTTCCAAAGATGGTATTTCTTTGGACTTTTTTTTATTACTTAAGGGGAACTTTCCTATAAATGTATAAGTAGTTTTATCTGTTTAGCAAAGAATAGTAATTAATAAATGTTTTTGCAAGCCAGTAAATTTATTTTAAATTATATATAATGCTTATACATTAAAAATGTATATAAAGATGATGTACAAAATTATTGTTCATTGTTCAACTGCTAACATCTAGTTTAAGAGGTTTTGCTCTAGTTTTACCTTCATTTTTCCTAGGGCAGGTCATTAATTTGAAGAAGGAAAATGTAGCAGTATATCACACTGAAGACTATATAACCATAAATGCTAAAAAATTTAAAATGTCTTTAGTCTGCACATAATATTTTTTGTTTTCTCTTAGGCAGTACTTCAAAATAGTTTATACACTGAATACCAGCAGCCTAATAAATATTTATGAGAACAGTATTTAGCCTTTAAAAACTGAGACATTTATATTCCTTCTGCTTAAGAGAGGTTTCTAAGATTAGCTCATCAAAGAATGGCAATGTATGAACTAAACTTTAAATTCATCCAAAAGAAATGGGGTTTGCAAATGTGTACATGTTTATCATTTGCTCCTTCCTTTCTTCCATCCATCATCTATGTGCAGAAACTTTTTTCCCACAGTGAAGAACTGAACATTGTCTCACCTTTCCTCACCCCAAACAAACCATTCCAATAAGCCTAAACCAAACACCCAAGGTAATTGTATCCGTATGTTTGGTCATGAGTATAAAGTAAGAAGGAAGCATCCATCTCAGCCAATTGTGAGCACACTGTCATAATGACAAGTCTCTTGTGATCTTGGTTCTTTGAATGATTAAATGATTATTCAGTTATTTGAATGATGTCATTCTCTTGAGGTTCCTCTGGCTGTTTTGCTTTCATACTGCAAATGTGTTAAAAATTTAAGTCCCAATTTGAACTTTTATTTATGCTGAGATCAGCCCTGTGGATTGCCTCATTATACAGAGCCTGCAGGGGAGGCACTTCTGGGCTAGCAGCCAATACTCTCAGGTCAGCAGGAACTATTTCAGCTCAATTTATAAAGCAAAAGAAAGGGATCCGGTTGACCTATAAGGACCAACTCTGCAAGAATTAGTGTTAACCACAACGGTGATTAATCACAGCTTGCCCATCTTCCTAAGAAAACAGAACATTCTTCACAGAGTTTCCTCTTCCTTTAAGTAAAAACATGCATTCCAGAGCATATAAGAACACTTAATTTCTAATAGATTTTAAGAATTCTATCAAGGATTACTTAAGAGATACTTGTAATAGATGACTTCTAAATCTTGAAATGATGGCAAGATTAAAAAGTGGTGATAGTTTAGCAATCTAATTCACCCACTTTCCCTTTGCATCTTTGAAGGCAATCTTAAAGATCTCTCAGTTTTTCAGATTGTTCTCCTTGTTATACAATGACAAGCTGTGTGAAGTCAGCATTCCAGAGTAGAATTTAGCCAGTCTGTTCTCTACCCAGCCCTTTCCATCCATTTATCTAGAAACCCAAACTCCCAAACTTGTTGAGAGCTTTGCTGTCCCTTTCCTCATTTTAGTGACTTCTGCACTAGGTATTACTGGTTTTCTATTATAGAAGAAAAGAATATAAATACTTCCCTGTCACACATGTCCCTTCCTCTCCTACTGCTCAGTGTATGGCTGTACTGGAACACACATACTTCCCCTCTCCGAATCTCTGTTACCTCACCATAGTAACTTTCTAAGAAAAGGTAGTTTTTGGGGTAGAGGGGTAGGGGGTGGGGAGTGGGGGAGGGGGAAGTGCACAAGGGACTACGGTGATGGTGCAGGGGTGAACTGGTGGTGGGAATTTTACGGGGGCTACACCTGAGAGGAGAAAGCATACATTGTACTAAAAGGAAGAATGATGTAAAATATATATAAAATAAAATTAAAAATTTTAAAACATAGTTTTTTAAACTTACCTGTCTAAAAATTCCTTTATCCTTCCTCATACGTGATAGATGGTTTGGCCGAGTTCTGAGATTTAGCACGGAATATTTTCACCTAGACTTCCGAAGGCATTCCTCAGGTGTTGAGTACTGCTGCTGAGAAGTCTGATGTCTGTTGTATTATATATGATCTGATATGTCTTTATGGCCATTTTTATGATCTCTTTATCTCTGATGCTTCGAAATTTATCCATAACATGCATTAAAGATTTTTTTTCCCACTACTTGTGTAGGATAATCTGTGAGTATTCTACTTTGGAAATGCTTCCACTTAATTCCAGGAAAATCTCTTGAATTCCTTCTTCGATCATTCTCTCTCTGAAACTCCTACTTCTGATAGGAAGACTAAGAAAGGTTCTAAACCTGTAATGACCAATATGGTGAGTGTTAGTCATGTGACTTGATGGTTGAAACATGGCTAGAGTAACTGAATGACTAAATTTTAATTTTTATTATTAATTTTTTTCTATTTTTCCTTTACCCCTCCCTACCTTAAATTTTAATTAAAAAAAGAACTATTTTAAATTTAAAAAACTGCAAGTTTTTTAGAACTGTTTAAAAAAGACAATTTTGTGTCTTTTGGTGGGACCATATTAACCTCTTACAGTATCTCACTGCATTGCTCAGTGATATAAGTCAGAAGGAAGAAGAAAAACACCGGATGGTTTCACTTATAGGCAGTATACAGGGAAACCAACCACAGGGTAGGGGGGAAAAAAGGCAAAACTAGCAGACAAACTGTAAATCAGAGATATACAGCAGGGGAAGGAGAGGGAGAGGGATCAAAACAAGGGAGGGAAGAGTACAAGAGACTGGTGATGGGTCACAGATGACTTGGTGGTGGGAATTTTATGGGGATTACACCAGAGAGGAGCAATCAGTGTACAAAAATGAACAACAAGATAAAATATACCTATATATTTAAACAAATATATATATATATTTTTAAAAAATTATTTATGTATTTATTTATTTATATAAGCATTGGGTACAGTCAGAAGCGCAGGAGGGTGAGAGAATTCACCAGAGCCAGAGCGGGGAGCAGAACAGGCAGAAGGACCGAAGCACACTGCTGAGGGGAGCAGCCGGAGGCAGGAGAGGTCTGCGCACCATGTGGGACCCTCCTCCGGTGGGGTGGCCGGGGAACAGCAGAGGATCGAACCAGCACTGCAGAGGCTGCGGGCAGCTTCACAACCCAGCGCTCAACCGCTGCGCCACCGGGGAGGCCCTAAACAAATATATTTAATGAAAAAAATGTGAGGGGCCTTCCTGGTGGCGCAAGGGATTAAGCACCACACTATGAAGCAATACACAACCTCTGCAGCACGTGTTCAATCCCTGGCTGGCCAGAGAGAAACCCACATGGCGAAGCACACCTCTCCTGTCTTGCCCGCTGCTCCCCTCAGCAGTGTATGTCATCAGTCTGCCTTTTCTATTCGCCACTCTGTCTCTGGTGAATCCTCTCACCCCCAGCATCTCTGGCCTGTACACCAGCTCTTGTATGCATAAATAAATAAATGTTAAAAAAATAAATGTTGGGGCCTCCCCGGTGGCGCAGCGGTTGAGCGCTGGGTTGCGAGGCTGCCTGCAGCCTCTGCAGAGCCGGTTTGATCCCCAGCCGCTGGCGAGGGTCCCACATGGTGCGCAGACCTCTCCTGGCGCCCGCTGCTCCCCTCAGTCAGCGGAGTGCTTCCTCCGTCTGCCTGTTCTGCTCTCCGCTCTGGTTCTGGTGAATTCTCTCACCCTCCCGCGCCTCTGACTTGTATAAATAAATAAATAAATAAATAAATAAATAAATAAATCTTTTTTAAAAAAGTTAAAAAAATAAGAAGATAAAAAAATTGTGATATAGCCATATAACTATTGCAAATAATGTGAATAAAGCTCAAAAAATGCCAAGCAAAGAGAAGACAGAAAGAAAGAAAAAGATTGTTGCATTGTTGTGTATATTGTATATGGGCATCATTTCTAGTATTGCACATGAACACATCACTGGTCTTGCTGGTATCAATAGACGGATTCAATTTGGATGATTTTATTCTTTGCACGGTTACTGTAGTGTCTTATTTGAATACTTCATGAAGACAAAATGAGAAGACATGCTCTACGTAGCAATACCTATGTAAGTCATAACTGGTCATTAGGCTGATGTTTATTATTTAATTATAATTCTTTTTCTAGTTAATAGTAATTCTAGACAAATTTCTGAATTATAACAAAGGTATATGTTGATGCAGAATTGGGGGATGAGAGAGAAGCTATTACTATGTCCAGAACAATAAAGAAAAAGGGAGCCTGAAAGAAGGGATATTATAAATACCAGGATGAATAGCTGCTGTACGAGGGAAACCTCCCAAGCTGTTTGTTGACTTGATGATACCACTGCTCCACAATATACATGCTGTGTATTTTTGTGTTTTAAACATGTTTTCTGCTTTTATTTCTAATAGGTAGATATTAACAAAATGTATTGAAAAAAGAATTTTCTGGTCTTCAATAATTTTAAGAGTGTAAAGGGGTTCTGAGCTCAAAATGTTTGAGAACTGTTGACCTAGAGCATAGAGAAAATAAAGTTTTAGAAGACTGTACTGTGGTATTGGGAACTAGCATGATTCACTAGAACATTTTAAAATGAAGGGCCTTAAATGGTTTTAACTGACTTCAACTTTAATGCAACTCCATCTTCCAGTCTCCTTTTTCTTCTCCCCAATACCTCTCTTTCATCCAGGTCCAAATGCTGCAGTGCCCCAGTTGGCCTATTTTGCTTTAGTTTATTTAGAATGAGAACACTATTAATACTTATACTCATTCCTCCCTTTATCCACATCCAGATTTACCTGCGTATTCAGTTGTCCAGAGTCCTAATGTTAGCAAAAGAGCGTTAATGAAGTAGCTTTTCCAAGAAATAATTTGCACTTTTAAACAGATGACTTTTGAAGACAAAGTCACTTCACTCAACAGTTATGGTTTTGGTAACAGGAATGAGGAAGGGGAAGTAAGTAGAAATCCATTAGCAGTTATCTGAGTTACAGTCTCCACAGGGTAAATAAACGAGGTTCCTTGGAAGGACAGCAGCAAAAGGCAGTTCTCATCGCAGCTCTAGCCTCTCAGCCACTCCTACGGTACCCACCAATGAGTCCAGGGCTTTTTCCAGTGGCCAGTAGCGCGGCTGGTGCTTGTGAGGGGCTGTAGCTTTATCATCTCTGATAATTACTGACAAAGCCTCACAGGAAGAATGTCACCTTTTTTAAAAAACATGAGGCTAGTAAACATAGATTTTACTTCATAGGTATTATCATGGAAGAGAGGATGTTAATCTCTTTGCAATGGCCTTTCATGGTCATTCAGTTCCTTTTCAAATTTAAAGGGTAGTATCCTATCTTTTATTTTTATTTTAATTCCTCCATCAAACAGTGCTTTTTTTTTTTAAAGACTTATTTATTTATACAAGAACTGGGGTACAGTCAGAGGCACAGGAGTGTGAGAGAATTCACCAGAGACAGAGTGGGTTGCAGATCAGGCAGACGGACCAAAGACACTGCTGAGCGGAGCAGTGAGTGAGACAGGAGATGTCTGCCGCGCCATGTGGGTAGCTCCCTGGTTGGCCGGGAATCGAACCCGCGCTGCAGAGGTTGCGGAAAGCCTCACAGCACTGTGCTCAACCCGCTGCGCCACCAGGGAGGCCCACTATCCTATCTTTTAAAAAAGACATTTTTAGAGCACTCTAGGCTCACAGTACACTGACAAAAAAGTTTATAAAGCTCCCATATACCTCCTGCCCCAGAAACACAGCCTTTCCCACTATCAACATTCCCCACCAGATATGTTTGTTATCATCAATGACTCTATACTGACACACTACAATTGTCCAAAGTTCACATCCTACATCAGGGGTCACTCTTGGTGGTGCACATTTGACAGGCATCCACCACTGTAGTATCATACAGATATCCACCATATTATAGAACGCACGTGCCCCTCTGTATTCTGCCTATCCACCCCTTTCTCTTCCCTAAACCCTGGCAACCAATGCTATTTTTACTGCCTCCATAGTTTACCTTTTCCAGAATGTTGTACCATAGAGTATGGTGCCTTCTTAGAGTGGTATCCTCTTTTATGATCTCATTTCTGCTTTCTAGACTGTTCGCATTAGCCTCATTGCACCTGTGTAAAAGCAGATGGTGGTTCCTACATAAAATAAAAAAAGCAAGCTACAAAGTGTAACCCAGGGAACTCTTGCATCAACATTACATAGGGTAGCAAAGCCCTCAGACAGGGTAGAAAAGGGGACCAATCTGCTTTAGAACTGTGTTTAGAGCGTGGCAGGAAAGCTTGGATAGAGAAACAGGACCTGTAGCTTGTACAGAGTTCTGCAGGTCTGGTAAGGCCTTGAATTTTTCTCAAAGTGCAAGAAGCTATCGGAGGGTTTTGGGCAGAGTAATCAGATCTCATTTATATTTAAAAAATAAGACTGATTAAGTAGCTATCAGGAGCCTCCCCTCTGTTAGGGAGCAACTGTTACAGTGTACCACACGAGATGGTGGTTGGGTCCAGAGTGATAGCAAGGCCCATGGTGCAGAGCACAGGAGGAAGACATTATGAAGGTAGAATAGCCCAGATTTGTTAATGGATTAAATGGGATATCAAAGGCAAAGGGATGAGAAGGGAGGAGGAGGAGGGAAAGAAATGGGGAGAGGGAGAGAGGGACCCAATTTTACTAGCTTTAGCAACTGACAGATTTACTAAAACAGCAAGGACGAAATGGGAAAGGAACTTGTGTGTGAGGGAGAAAAGGGAGGGAGTAAAAGAGGGGGCAGGAGGTGGGACAGTGGGGCCAAGAAGGGGTGCTGCATAAGCAAAAATGTTACACATGACATCTCCCCAACATTCTATACCGAAAATTGTCAAAGAGCAAACTGCAAAGAACTTGACAGTGGCTACCCCCACACAACCATCCCCTCACCGTACCTCCAGCCTTCCATCTCCATCCATCAGCCCATTTTACTTCTGCCGTGCATTTCAACTGCACACATCCTTGCCGGAGCTTAGCACACACTTGTTTCTTGGTTTGTTTGTTTTTTTTTCTTTCCATGTAAAACTGACACGCAAGGTGAGACGGACAAATCGTACAGTGGATTCCCTCAGTTCTGACACACGCTCGCACCTTACACTGGGGACGCCCAAAGGCCGTCAAGAGGGCACAACCACACGGGCCGCCGGACGGGGCCGTCCAGCGCTCAGTCAAGTCTCGGTGTTAAGAGGGGGTCGTCAGAACACGGGTCCGTTTCAGCTACGGGGGTGGCTGACAGCCCCCAGGGGCAGAGACGGGCGAGAAACGGGTCCTGCGTTCAAGTCCCGCCCTGGCAGAGCAGGACGGGGAGGGGCGTTTGGGGGGGTTTGGGGCGTTGGGGGGGGTTTGGGGCGTTGGGGGGGGTTGGGGCGTTAGGGGTGGGGTTGAGGCGTTACGGGGGGTTGGGGCGTTAGGGGTGGGGTCGAGGCGTTGCGGGGGGTTGGGGCGTTGGGGGGTGGGGGGAGCGGAGGGCTTGGGCCGTCCGAGCCCCGTCGGCCCAGCCCGGGAAGGGCCGTCCCCGGTGACCCTCCGAGGTGACCGCGGCGTCGCCAGGCGCGTGTGGGCCGTCCGGGGAGGGAGCGTGTGGGGGGCGCGCAGGCGGGAGAGTGGGCCCGAGGAGGCCGGGGCGGGCCGCGGCCTTAGGCCCCGCGTGGGCGGGAAGGAGCGGGGCGCGGGCGAGCGCGGCGGAGCGGGGGCCGGGAAGTGAGGGCGCGGCGGCGGGAGGGCGGAGCCGGCGCTGCGGCCGGCCGCGCGGAGGGAGGGGGTGTGTGCGCGGGTCACATGGTCGCGCTGCCCTCCCCGTCAGCCGCCCTCGCCGCCGCGGTGCGCTGGCTGCAGGAAGCCGCCGCGCCGCCGCTTTTGTTGTCAGGGCCCCGCGAGGAGCGCCGCTCGCCGGCCGCCGCCGCCCTCTCCCACGGCTGCCCGCTCTCCGGCCGCGGGGCCCGGGTCCCGGGCGCCCCGCCCGCCCTGCCCATGAGGCGGCCCCGCGACCAGCGCTGCCTCCAGCCCGGGGCGGCGCGGCGCTGAGGCGGCGGCGGCGCTGCTCCCTGTGCGGGAAGCGGGCGGCGTCAGCGCCCTGCCCGAGGGCACCATGGAGGTGAATGCGGGTAAGAGCCGGACGGCGGCGGGTGGGGGCCCGGCGGAGGGGGCGCTCGGGGGGGCGGCGTCGGGAGTGCCCCCGGGCCGGCGGGTGGGCTGCTGCGCGCGGTGCGGCCGCCTCGGGCTCCGTTCCCGCCGCCCCCTGGGCCGCCCGCGGGCGCCCTCCCCGCTCCCCGCAACGCCGCAGCGCGGCCCGGCGGCGCCGGCCCGGCCCCCCCTCACATGGCCGGGCCGCGCGAGCCACGTGCGCGCTGTGTTTACGTTCGGCGGCGCGCGGGCGGCGGTTGGCTGGGCGGGTGCGTGACGCGGCATTACATAATGGGCGCTGAGGCGGCGGCGGCGGGCGGGGACACGTGAGGCCGCTCGGCTTGGTGACCCACATTCCCCGGGGCCGCAGGGACACGTGGGGGCGGGGGCGCGCGCGCGCAAGCCGGCTGGGAGCGCCGCAGCCTCGCGGAGGCCCCGCCCCTTTGGAACCCTCCTGGCGGTGACGTGGCCGCGATTCCCGCCTCCCCCGCGGGGTTGCACACTGCGGAGGAGGCCGCGCGTGCGCGTGCGGTGTCCCGCGGCCCGGCGGCCGGGAGGCGGGCGCCGCAGTGCACTGGCCGCGGCCTGCACGGGCTGCAGGTTGCCCCGCGGTGCTGAGCCTGAGCTTGCAGACTTGGCGGGTTCTGATGAAGTGCGGGGCGACGGCACGACCTCAGCTCAAAGAGGTTGCTTTGGGGGAGGCATGAGGCTTCCCCGACGGGAGATCGTCGAAACAGATCGGAGATGCTTTAGATCCCGTGCGACTTGTTAGGTTGCTGCCTATTTTTTACCCAAAAAATTAAAAATAAATAAATAAATAAAGGTTTCCTCTAGGATGCTACCCCTTGGCTGGAAAATCCCCACAGGCTGAAGCCTTACTGTAAATGGCTGACGCCCAAAGCTCATCCTTCAGCTCTTGTGTGCTCAGGATGACTCAGGTGATCCCAGGTGCCTTAGAGACCTTATTGAGACTGGTCACTGTTCATATCAAGTCATTCTTTTAAGCCTTTCATGAATCTGAGCAGCAGAATTTTTTTTTTTTTTTTAATAGAGGCATGTTTTTTATTTATTTGTTTGTTTGTTTTTTGTTTTATACATGCACTGGGTACAGTCAGAAGCGCGGGAGGGTGAGAGAATTCACCAGAGCCAGAGTGGGGAGCAGAGCAGGCAGAAAGACCGAAGCACACTGCTGAGGGGAGCAGCGGGCGGCAGGAGAGGTCTGCGTGCCATGTGGGACCCTCCTCCAGTGGCCGGGGAGCAGCCGGGGATCGAACCGGCGCCGCAGAGGTCGCCGGCAGCTTCGCAACCCAGCGCTCAACCGCTGCGCCACTGGGGAGGCCCTGAGCAGCAGAATTTGACAGCTATAAATCCTTGTCTTGTTACACGTCCTGTTGCATTGTTATGGAACAGGAATACTCTGTTCTCCCTTCGCCTTTTTGGCCCTTAGTCCTGAAGTCAGTGAGGTTGTAGAAGCCAGTTTTGGGCTTTTTATGTTCACCGAAGGCTACATGTCGATAATCAATGTTTTGAATTTTCCACCAAGATGAAGACATTATCTGTGTTTTTATGATCTGTGGGTCTACTTAGTCTTTGAGGGTATTTTTTAAAATTGGGTAAGGCTATCATGAAATGGACTCGATTAGAATTTAGATATTCTCAGTTTCGGCCTCTTCTAACCCAGTCTTTAGCATGAGTGAATTCTTCCAGTTTTGCAGTTTTGCAACTTCATGTAAGGTAGCCGGGTTGGCTCAGGTGGTCAGAGTTTTTCTCGTTTGAACCATCCTGGAACATTATCACATCTTAATCTTGCCTTTTGGAGCTGCACATTGTAAAACCTTGGTTTGGATGATTGTTGGCCACCCCCAGTTCTTCCATTTCCAGTTGTCATTCGTCCCTCGGTTCTTGTTCTGTTGTTTTTTCAGATCATCCTTATCCCCATTGGGATGTAGCACCCAGATGTGAACAGGTTCCTACTGAAGTGGTTGGACAGTTACCAAGTTCCATGTTTTGGATTCTGCTGCAAATGAGTTCTCTGGCAGGCTTGGCTTTTCTGGCATATTGCTTTGCTGACTCATAGTAACCTTGCAATCACCTTTTCCTCTGAACTACTTTGAAGCTAGGTTTTATCCACTGTGCAGACAATTGTTTGACCTGAAGTGTAGGAATTTGCAATTACTTTTCTTTAATTTTCTCTTTTTGTTTCCAAGTTGAAGTTGTCTTGATCTGTTGCCAGTATGTTAACAATTTTTGCTTTCTGTCTGAGGGTGCTTTGATAAAGCATTCCTTTTTAACTTTCTTTAAATTGTTGCGAAAGTTGACCAGGGTGGGGCCAAGTTCAGTGCTGTGTGGCACACCTGAGACCTTCCCTTTTGGTTGATATTAATCAATACACATTCTGCCATGATCACTTCATCTCACTGTTCTAGAATTCATGATGCGTTGTGTCTCTATCCTTTCCGTGACTAACTCAGATATGAAATAGTGAAGTGGTAGAAATTAACTACATTTTGCCAGATTTTAATTGAGTGTACCAGGTTCTTCATATTAAATGAAAACACACTGCACAAAATTCATACCATGACTGTAATTCATTTTTAAAATTAAGGAGGTATTCCACATAGTCCAGTTTTATCTTTACAAATGTGTATTCTACTGTGTTTCTCTAAACTTTGAAAGAAGACATCAGAGGGAGGTAGGGGTAAGACAGTCTTCATGTGAAAAGAGAAACAAGCAAGATAATAGGAAGAATAAAAAGTGAAGTTGGAAGTTGTATGATTAGTCACTGGGATTACAGAATCTAGGAGGTAGTGTGGAAATGCTTCCTCCTACAGAGGAAGCACTGGGAACATATGACATTCAAAATAGAAGGAAAGGAGAAAGAATAGGGAGTTAGTTTCGTTTTTTTTGTTTTTTTGTTTTTGCATAGAAGTCTGGGACGTAGGCCAGAGGTACAAGAGGGTGAGAGGATTCACTAGAGACATAGTGGGGAGCAAAACAGGCGGATTTACTGAAACACTGTTAAGGGGAGCAGCAGGTGAGACAGGAGAGGTCTGCTGCGCCTTATGTGGGTCAGCTCCATGGCTGGGGATCAAACTCAGACCATAGTGGTGATAGTGCCTTAACCCCTAGTCCACCAGGAAGGCCCCAGTCTCTTTTGAACTGTTCTGATTGAACTCTTCCAGTATAGTGATGAAATAATCACCAGTAACTGTTGAGCATTTTACATGTATTACTATTTTTACGCTTTTCATTAATTCTGTGAAGGAAGGTGCTGTTGTCACCATTCGACCATGAGGACTTAAGCAGATTGAAATTTAAGTGACTTACACAGGCAAGTGACAGAGTAAGATTTTGACAACAAAGTCCACTTGAAGCACCAAGCTAACTACTGTGCTGTAATAGTTTTAAGCTCAAACAATATTTGAAGGTATATGTAAAACTTGGTTGTCCTGTGCACATGGGCCCTTCAGTTTGCGGTGGTATAGGGTCATACTTGTGGGCAAGGAATGGTGTTAGCAGAGCCTCCCAATTTCATCAGTCCTCTCTTTTTTTAATTTTGTTGTTAGTCAGATCTAACATTTCCTACACATGATATTACACTTGGTTCCCCTCCCACCCCCAACAACTTACATGAAAACAAAAAACAGTTTTACAAAAATGAGACTTATTATCAGTAGTTTTTTGCAGTCCTGATTTTGTTTGTTTTCTTTTCTTTTTTTTTTTTTTAAACTTTACACGTTTTATTTATTTTTTAGATTATTTATTTATTTATACAAGCACTGGGTACAGTCAGAAGCGTGGGAGGGTGAGAGAACTCACCAGAGCCAGAGCAGGGAACAGAACAGGCAGACATGACGAAATACACTGCTGAGGGGAGCAGCGGGCACAGCAGGAGAGGTCTAAGCGCCATGCGGGACCCTCGCCCAGGGAGCGAACCGGCACTGCAGAGGCCGCGGGCAGCTTCACAGCCCAGCGCTCAACCGCTGCACCACCAGGGGAGGCCCTGATTTTGTTTGTTTTCTTAACCTCTTATGATAATTTACATATTCTGCAAGCCCCTACTTATTGTCACCTTGACTGCGCTCGCTCCTTGATCTCTAGTATATGTGCTGCTGAAGCAAACACTCCTCTTGATCTCTAACCTCTGTATTGCTCTTGTGTGCTCCACAGCAGTTTGCAGTAATTTGCATAAAACATTGCTCACG